AGTGCTGTCAAGGGCGTCTGGCGCAGGCAAGCCTGCCGGCACCGCACCTCGTCTGTGGGGGGCTGCTGCCTGCCGTCCCGGCGGACTGGAGTGTGTGCTGTTTAGCTGAGGGTACCCAGCTCTGCCTTCAAAACCTCAGAAATGTGTGGCAGTTTGTTTTTTTTTTTTAAACTTGCAAGTGGTGGGCGAGGTATGCTGCCCGATACAGCTGAGAAAGAAATGAGTTGCTGGTTTAAACACCCAAGGTTGAGACTAGAAACCAAGGTTTCAGTTCTACAGTTAGCTGCGGATGATCTGAATAAACCCGAAGGTGTCATTCTGCAGGACAGAAGTTGCTCCTTTTCCTGTGTGAGAGGGGTGTTAAGTGAGAACATAAACGTGAGGCTGAGGGAAATCCAGAAAGGGTGCTACTGGTTTGCCAGTAATCCAGGGGTTGCTGCCTGGTGAAGCAGATGGTCCCAATCCTGCAGGCTCATGCAGCTGTATGCATCTTGCATCTGTTCAGGATGCACATAGAAATGGGAGATGAACAAAGCATAGGTGGATTTTGATGAACATGAGTATAATACACCTTAAAAAATACTGTAGTACAGAGAAAGTAATAGTTGTGGCAATCTACATGAAGCACATAACTATGTATAACTTCATTTATTTTTCCTTCAAGCAACTCTGCAAAAGATGGATTTCTGTACAAAATCAGACATAGATAATGCAGTTACAGCATGTTTGCGACATACAGTTGAAAACCCACATTTTCAGTTCCTGCAAATGGAACAAGTCTTCATTTACAACACTTCTTAAAACCTTGACGGAATAATCCTCATACGTTTTGCACTGCCTCATGCTGAAAATACAAAAAATGGTTTGGAACTGAATATTATTATTCCTTTCAATATTCATGAAAGTCTTGTGACAAAACAGCATGTTATCATACAGAAGAGAGGCTTCTAGAAGGGAGGGAGAGAATTTGAATAAAAGAAGTTACGTTGAAATAAAACTGCAAAAGCATTCCAGGAGAGTTTAGGAGGCAGAGTATCAACATGTGCTGTGTACCTTGATGTAAAGTCCCTTTAAATCCAGACCGAACCCATGGAATCTTAACTGCTCAAAGATTTGGAAATGAGGTGATTCAAGTCAAAATGCATGCTTGGGGTTGAATTTTGCAAGTTTCCCTTAGGTTTTGACAGACACCAGGAAAACTTCGTCTTTCAGTTTGACTTTGGAATGTTGTTGTTAGGCTCTTGCACACCAGTTATCTCTTCATGTTTACCATAAATAATGACTAGAAACCTAACCTGCAACTAGACTGTTGAATTAACGTCTGGAAGGGTTTGTTTCCTTCTCTTTCCCCCACCTCCTTAAGACTTTCTGTCTTACAGGATTTGTTTGCAATCTGCTAGCTGAAGCTCTGAGGCAAGTTTGCCAGATCTGGGGCTGCATCATCGTTCTGCACATCTGGAAGTGGTTTACGGGCTCTCATTCCTCCAGTGCAGCGTCTGGACTCTGTGCTGTTCCTCAGCAGCAGAAAAAGAAAAGAAAACCAGCACAACTCCAAAGTAAACTTTGAAGAGTTTGAAAAAGGAATTGAATCTTAAAACTGTTACTGTGCCCTGTAAGGCCCTTGTGCAGGGGACTTCAAAGGAGGATGATGGTGAAGGAAGCTTTGGCAAGAGTACTTACAGCTGTGGGCTATCTAGGATCCAAGTAAATAGCTCTACAGCTCTTCAGGAGAGAGGAGTTCCGAATACTGTGCTGCTTTGAAGAGGTAAAAAGACTAATTAAGCAGGAAATATCTGAGCAGTAATGTCACTGTTTCTGAGCTTTCCCTTCTGCAGCCCCTCATTTTGTTACAGGATTTGGCAACTGAGTTAGGGACTGCCAGGTTCCAGGAGCTAATGTCTACAGTCAGGAAAAACTGAGTAAATATTTGCAGGGGAAGAAATACTCCTCTCTTTCTTTAAAAACCAGTGAGTAATCAATCTGAGTTTCTAAGGCTTAGGAATGCTGTAGTTTTAGAACTCAAACTTGTATGAGAGTCTGTCTGAGTTTGGATTTTAAAGTTTAAAATGTGGTTCAGTTTGTGTGGATTTAATAATTTCTGAACATAAACAAAGCTGTGGCTATCCAACTTTCATTTTGCAGTGATCATCAGTATTGTTCATTACAAATGTTCATTAAAAGATAGTAGTCAGCTCTATGGAAATCAGTGGAAGATTGTGATTAGCTAAAGTGGGGTTAGAAAGTTACTCCAAGAGTGTAGGGGCTTCTGTTGTCTCTCTGCTTACCTAAATGAATAAACTTTTTAAATGGATAAGAAGACAATACTTGTGTGTAATGCATGAAAGAAGGGCTTTCTCAGCAGTGGTGTTTTGTTTTTTTTTTTAACTGATAAGCTTGATTTCCTCTCTATGTAAATTAATGCCACATGAAAAGAGTGGGCTGTTGGAATGTAGATAAGTGAAAGGACTTTCAGAAGTACTCCTTTTGCTATGATTTAGTCGTTTGTTAGGAGATAAATACATGCGAATATAAGTGGTTTGTAAACAAAGCCACATCTTAGCTTTTTTCATATTTTTATTGTCTTGTAACTTGTTAGTCGAAGTAGAAACTAATTTAGGATGCCGCCTGAACTTGAGCATTATCCAATGAGAGGCGGTCAGTTTTGTGACTCAGGTTTCAAGAATTCTTGCTGTTCTGCCTTCTCAAGGAGTTGGAATAAACTTCATTTTTATGTGTGCATAGAAACTGTCATATATTCTTGTCTGTGCTGTAATGTGTCCATATCTGTATGTATGGAAACAGGGAAAAGATTGGTTTCTGTCCTATGTACAGCTACCATAGCATAAAGGTTAGACCACATAGTTGTATGTAGTTTTCCCCTCCCCGCCCCAACTTCTGGTGCTGTTTTTTACTGTTAGGTTTTTTTGGTTTTGTTTATTTTTTTTTCATAAACAGTAGTTTTGGGTCCAGAATTCAAGTGGATGTTATATTTCCCATAATCCTGTATTTTAGGAATTATGTTCTGTCCTCTTGGGTATAAAGTCATGGCCACTCTTGGCCTGGTTTAGAAATACAATTTTCAGGAAGGCTACCTCATTTTCTTCAGCATCACAAATAATGTGCTCAGATACCAGCCTCATTGCACAAACTCTTCCCCTTACTGTTAGTGGAAGGATACTGCTGTTAGAAAATATTTTCACTATTGTTCTGAAATTTTCTGAGTCTGAAAGATACTGCTCCAGTATAAGATTCCCATATGTTTGGGAACTTACTCCAGCAAGAGATTAGTATTCGTGATTGTTGCTATGTTTTAGATGAAATCAGAGATAAATGTAAATGTATTTACAAATTGCATCAGTGAGTGTTTTAATACTTCTTTGCACATTACTTTAAAAAGTTTTTAGAAATCTTAGTTATTACTGATGTAGGTGATTGGATAGAATTTATTAAAATTCTGTTCTTTTCAACATACTCGTAGCCTAAATTAAAATACGTAATAGTTCTAGCCCAGAATATTAGTTATTTGTTCCAAAAAAGTTGTTTACAAAGATAGAATTCAGTTTTACTTTTACCAGGTCAACAGTAAAATTTGATTATGCAAAACTTGTCCCTGAAATAACTAACTAGTATTTACTGCTGGTATTAATGATTTTTTTTGCACTCTTTTTTTTTTTTTTTTTTTTTACCACAGATCACAGTTCTCATCCAACAGGACATATGGCTCTTTTAAAGAAAAGTAAGAGAAAAACATCTTAAATATGTATTTTTAAAAGGGGACAGAAATGTCAAATGCAATTTCTCATGCAGCTGTTGTCACAGCTGCATGCAAATTTATAGCTCTAGTTTTGCTAAATTTTGCTTACCTCTAAGTATACAAATAAGCTTTTTCCTGTTAACGAGGTCAGATAAGTATGACCATAAACTCCATTAATTTGAAATTACTCACCGCTTTACTGCGTGAGACTGGGTGGTCTGGAATTTCCCACTAAGAGTGCAGGTAGCTGCTGGTTTCATGTGAGCTGTGCCTAAAGCACTGAATCTGACTTTTTTACAGAACTCTGCACATTAATACTGTTCATACTCGCAGTTGAGGTGTAGCCGCAAGAAATTTGAGGTCCTCATCAACTGTCAGGGTCAGTGACTGAAAATGGACTGGTGTGTGCCTTCAGTTATGCACCCAAAATTTCTCTGAAGTCAAGGGGCTGTCTCCTCAGCTGGTTTAAATTAGTGCAGGTTCAGTGATGTATGTTTACCAATTTCAATTTATCCTCATGCCCAGTTCTGGCCAGTTGGCCCTTTTGATTGAAATAGTTCAAAACTTTGTTCCCTTTGCTCTTTTGTCCACCTTAAATACCTTTTCTGGTGGTGCAGAGTAACAAAGTAGTCCAATATAAAGAACTCCCATCATCAAAGTCACTGTTGATGACGATGATGTATTCCTTCCCTGTTGAACTCTGTGAAGTGTCCCGGTACCTGCTTGTGGTTGGTTTATGTTGAATAACTTAAACTTGTACAAGACAGTGTGGTAGGAACTGCAAATCAGAATATGCAGTAAGGTCTTTGCTGTTTTATGCTTTGTTTTGAATTTACTAATTAAAGTAACTGTGTCAAAATGTTTATGTATTTTTTCAAGTATTTTGAAACATGTCTGGTTTCAGTAGCATGCTGGGTTTGTTTTTCTAGTATTTGCAGAGTTTTGCTCAAATATGTCTTGATGATCTATACATTGAAATTGAAAAAAATTTCTCCTGTGTTTGAAGTTTTATCAGGGAATTGTGAGATAAGGGAAGGGCTAGGTAAAAATAATTAACTCATGAAGTCCTGTGATGTTAAACAGACAACAAACTAACCAAGAAAAGAAAATTCCAGGTTCCTGGTAAAATTCAGAAACATGTGAATTTCCTGGTATGGGTAACCCATATATATTGGGTGCTCAATGATTTAGTGAGCAAATTATCCTTGAAAATCAGATAGCTGGAAACTATTATAATGGGGGTGAGATACTATTGTGTTTTTAACATAAAAATTTTAGCTTCATCAAATAACAAGAGAAAGGAGAATTTGATAAACACAGCAAATACAGGTTATGATATGTACTGGTTGCAAATTGGATTTTTTTTAAAAAAACCGTTCTTGGGAATTCACTATTATACTGATTGTTAACAAATTCTGCCTTTTGTTTCAGTTAACCAGATCTTACTGTTACTTCTTGTCTTAACTGTGTGCGCCATTCTGTATAACAAAGTTCACCAAGTGCCATCTGCAATAAAGAATGAAACAGGTAAATGACTTGTACTTCTGTTTCATTTATGTTCTTGTTTTATATTCCTTATCTCTTCATTTGAACTGTGCTTTTTGTCTTATTGAATCCTCTTTGCCTTGCAGTAGATGAGCTACTCACTGTTGCATATGGTATGGGATGTGGTATTTTTTGCTTTTGAATTACTTGAATAAAATAGGAGATTGATAGTAATGACTTAAGAATTGTCATTCTGATTCCAATTTTTATCCAGATGTCACTGATGTAGATGGAAGCTGGAGTACATCCTTATCTGTGCTGAACGGTATTGGAGTTGTCAAGTGATAATAAACTTTGATCACAGTTTGCCCTTTTGGGAATGTTCTTGGCCCACCTGTTCATTTGATCATCAAATTTTGACAGAATTTAGAGCAGAAATTTTTGATGGAATTTTTATAGTGACAGAAACCTGCTAGGGTTGATGTGGTTGGACTGGTATTTAATGTTTACACTAATAGCTATTCACTGTTCCCAAGACAAGCAAACTGTCTTGGTATAAACCAATTTTTTCAGTATATTTTCATTGGGACTGTTATGAGTTTAATGGTTACATTTTAACCAGCATAAATATATTCATGTAAGTTCTGTAAGTTAATCAGTGCTAGGGATAAAAAGCTTCCTTAGCAGTAATGTGAACTGATTCGGTATTGTTCAGATTTTTTTTCTTTTATGATTAGCAACTTCCTGCTGGTACAAAATTTTGCACTATTCCTTTCTAGCCTGCTTACCAAAGAAGTGAAGCTCATGCAGTTGCACCATCTCTTCAACCTACCTCTTTCCTTTGATAATTTTGGAACCTATTGCTCAATCTGTACTAAATATAACTGAGAAGTCTCAAAGGTACTCAAACTTCTTCAGGCTTCATGTGATTAAGCAGCTACATGGAGAACAGGCTGAATTGTGCTCCTGCTGAGCAGAAGATGCCAAGAGCTCGGTTACATATCCAACAGTCCAGTCAACCTGCACATAGTTCTGGATTAGCGACAGCTCATGCTGTGTGCCTTACCCAATAAGGGTGTGTATAGGATGTGGTAAGGAAATGGGGTGATTGTGATACGATTCCACTGCTTATGGAACTACACACTCATTCCTATGACCCAGATCTGATACAAAAAGGTTCTTGATTTTCTATTATAATGTATAGTTCTGTTTCTTGTAGTTGATTTGGGGAGTCCTGAAGAAATGGAAGAAGAAATCCCAGTTGTAATCTGTGCTGCTGCGGGCAGAATGGGTGCAGCTATAGCAGCAATCAGCAGCATCTACAGCAACACAGAGGCTAATGTCTTGTTCTACATAGTTGGGCTGAAGACCACCATCCCGCATATTCGGTATATACCAGCCTTATTTTGTTTCATGCTATAGTTAGGACCAGGTTGTTGTTCTCCTTAGCATGGACATAGACTTTGGAGGCTTTTCAGGGAAATGTTTCTCTCTCTCATTTAAGTAGTGCTATTGGTAGCAATCCCCAGGATTCCCAACATGTAGGAAAAAGGACCATTTTGCCCTACGCAAGGCACTGACTGGTGTAAAGGGGTGTGAAATAGCCAGACCATGCCCACACCTGTGCCTGTTTGCCTTTTGTAGATCGGCTGCAGAAGAGTCTGTAGTAAGGTAAGTATATACATGCTTACTTGTCACAAGCCCACTTTATGGCACTGCGCTTAACCTCTCATCTGGTGCTGTGTCTTAAGCTTCAGAGTAGAAAAACTTGCTGTGTAAAGTTAATTTCAGCTAAGAGTGTGTATTAAAGTTTATAAATAGAGGCCCAAAGAAGCTTGTAATGCAAGTATGTTTGGGTGTTAAAATTTGCAAGCATTGTCTAAAAGAGGGGGAAAGTGTGAATCAAAACTAAAGCAGATTTCTTAGCAGTTCTGCACTTCTGTAGCCTGTGTACCCATAATTTGTGTCAAAGTGAAAAGATGTAATGAGTGGGGTTCCAGGGGGAGTTTTTCCCATCCCGTTCATCACTAACCTAGATAATAGAGTGAAGAATGTTCTTTATGAATCTGCAATTGGCATGAAGCTGGAAAAGAGACAGCAGATACATTGAGGGCAAGGGCTGAAAATAAACTAAACATGTTGAATTGGAAAAATGAACTTTAAAATGTGATGAAATTCAGTAGAGGTAATGACAAAGTAATATAGGTGGGAATGGCTGATTGTATTGGCTCAGAGTGAAGCAGGAGTTTGGTAGCACTGACTTGGAAAAATACAGAATTATGACTGATAACTGACCACACTGATTAAAAAAAAAGTGGGGGGGGAAAGCATGCATCATAGTGAATATACATGTTGCCACATATGACCACAGGAGATGTGAGGAAACTTTTTTATGATCTTGCAGACATTATTAATGCATCAGAAAGTGTGGTGTTTAGTTTTAGGTGCCTTCAGGAATGATTTAGAAGACAGGTCAGAGGAGGAAATAAGCAATGGTGTCAAGAAATCTGACAAAATAATGAAAAAAATTAGCTTAGTCTAAAGAAAATATAGTTAGGTGATGTGGTAGTCATCTTGAGGGATGTGAAACTGTAAAAGAGAGAAAACTAACATCTGCTTTAAAAGCACGGTACATAGGATAAGAAAAAAATGGTCTATAGCAAGAAAGCCTAGAAAAATAGCATTTAATGCTAGCGATGGTGAAAGATGTGTTGTTTGGGCAACATGTGGAGCCTCTGTTTTTGGCAGTGGTGTGAGGTGTTTGCTTTGTTGTTTTTTGGGGTGGTGTTGTGTGTTTCTTTAAGAACAGGTGAAACAAATGTCTGTGTGCAATAGCTGTGGACATAAGTGACTATCTTGGGATAGAATAGATCGAGTGAGCTTTCAAGGTCTCTTATTCTCCTATGAGTCTATGAATTTAATACTGGAAGTACTTGCCACACACTCAGTATTTCCTCTTTTTTATGACAGAAAATGGATTGAAAATTCTAAACTGAAAGAAATAAAATTTAAAGTTGTGGAATTCAACCCTATGGTACTAAAAGGAAAAATCAGACAAGATGCATCACGTCCTGAGCTACTGCAGCCTGTGAGTAAATGAACACTGCATAACAAATTTTCAGGATCTTTAATGCTTATTACAGGCTTTAAAATGTCACAGAATCACAGAATCACTAGGTT